ATAGATAGATAGATAGATAGATAGATAGATAGATGATAAATAGCAATGATAAAAGTGATAGATAGATAGATAGGTAGGTAGATAGATGGGAGACAGACAGAAACAGAGACAGGAAGGAAGGAAGGAAGGAAGGAAGGAAGGAAGGAAGGAAGGAAGGAAGGAAGGAAGGAAGGAAGGAAGGAAGGAAGGAAGGAAGGAAGATTCTAAAATATCTAAGAAGGGTTAGAATCAAACCTACAGCATAAAGTGTGAGGTTCTGAGGAGTACTTGCCTGTAGACAGAGCGATGGAGCCAAATGGATCTGATAGTAGCATTTTAAGGTAAAACAAATCAGAACGACCAGGTTATTTAAATGAAAACTGGAAATAATAATAACTCCTGGTGTGCTCCTGCATAGAGAAGACAATAGAGAAGAACATGTTCCAATGAACTGCTGCTAGTGACTTATCAAGGGCTTTTCATTGTTACGTTGATGTGTCCAAATCTCCCAATTCATTAATAGTCCATGGGAAGCAAAATTCCAGCAGCGTTGAGTCAGGGGAACAATATCATTTGCTCATTTTCTCAAAAATCGCAGAATTTGTCTCGGGGAAAGAAAACCAGCAGTGGTCCTCCTTGAAGCCTCCACTGACCCCCTGCTTTGTTCTACAGGGGCTTTTCCGGATCTATCCTTTGCCAGAAGACCCCAGAATTCTACCTCCACCACGTCAGTTCCAAGAGCTTCCTGCCAATGTCTCCCAGGACTGTCTGGTTCGCGTTTATATTATCCGAGCTTTTAATCTCCAGCCAAAAGACGTCAACGGATTGGTAAGTTCAAGTACCTCCTCAGCCGTGAGAGCCGGCAAGGTGATTTGGGGCCAACCGTCAATAAAAAGAGCTCAGTGGTTTGCAAAGTGTGCGGAGCGAAGGCACTCTGCGAGACCGCTTGCACGGAAGGAGTCTCGCCTCATTAAACAAACGAGAGCAGAGCTGCTTTCGTTAAAATGAAGCGGCAGATACAAACACTGACAACAACCGTCCATTCCCTTCTACTCCGTGTGGCTTGATTCACAAACCTTGCAACCTCCATTTTGAACCTTGGGGGGGGGGGCGCTACCGGTTCAGGCGAACTAGTAGCTAATGTGATCGTTTTTAATGACTGGTTTGGCAAACCGGCAAATCCAACCCCTGGCTGGCTCCACCAACCCTGCCCTGCCCTGCCCAGGAGTCTCCACATTTTTGGATGCCAGGTAAGTACAGGGCCTGTGTAGAGGCTCGGGGAAGCTGAAAAATGGGCGTCCGGAGCCTGGGGAGGCCATTTTCACCCTCCCGGAGGCTCAAGAAAAGTTTCCGGAGCCCAGGGAAGGCAAAAAAGGCCCCCCTGCTGTGGTGCAGGAGGCTGAGTAGGCCATGCCCACCCAGCAACCTGGCAGAGAACCAGTTGCTAAAAATTTTGAAGCCCACCCCTGTTTTGAACTGGCACCTTTTGATATGGCCCAAGGGCTAATCAATAAAGACTTATTATATTATATTATTATTAACTGGCACCAACTGACGAATTTCCTAAAAGCTCTGACTCCCAGAGTCTGCCTGGCTACTCTTGTAAGTCAAACTTGCCAAATTTTGGCGAGGAACCTGTCTCTATACTGCAAGGGTCGTGTGTTCGTGAGTCTCGTTTAGGAAAGAGAACGAAACCATGTCTTTGTGTCTTTGTGTGTGCTGGGCCTGGGATGGGATGTGGAGAACAGAAGGTGGAGCTTTTGTTTTGCATCTCTTTACAGTGTGACCCCTACATCAAGATCAAGCTAGGGAAAGAAAGGATGGCTGATCGAGAAGAATATATACCCAACACCCTGGATCCTGTGTTTGGAAGGTCAGTCTGATTGCTTTGTTGCACTGCTGACCAGCATTCAAGCGATGTGTGTAACCATAGATTGGGACTGCAGAAAACACTCTCCCATAAGGAGCAGATGACCATGTTCCTCTCAAACCTGGTTAACTAATTTGTGGTGATAGATGGATGGATGGATGGATGGATGGATGGATGGATGGATAGATAGATAGATAGATAGATAGATAGATAGATAGATAGATAGATAGATGATAGATAGATGATAGATAGATAGATAGATAGATAGATAGATAGATAGATAGACAGATGATAAAGAGATAGAGAGAAAGAGAGAGAGAGAGACAGACGATAAAAACTAATACAAACTAAAAATAAAAGAATAAGAAGAAAATATAAAGTACATAAAAAGAGAAATAGAAAATAAAAAATTAGATAAGAGATGAGGTATGGGAAGATGAGATCATTTCTTGCACCTTAAGAGAAGGTGATAAGTTACTAAAATTGTTTAGACTTGTGATGTGAGAAATCATTTCTTTATATATTTCCATTTTTTTCTTCTATTTTTCTTCTGAATATTCTTCACCTTTCCATAATCCATCTCTTATCTATAAATAAATTATAAATCCTTGTTTTTTGTAGTCTTGATATTAGCAATGGTCTATGAAGAGTTATCAGAGATAACGGCATATCTATTTTGGCTTGATCTTTCAGTTGATGTCATAGAACTTGATTTCTTTTCTTTTCTTTTTTTTCTTTGTCCCCTCTCACACAATTCTTTAAAGCTTTTATAAGATTTTGATAAATCCAATACAGGAAAATTATCTAGGTCACTCTGTTAGCTTGTTATTTTTATATTCTTTTTAATGATGAAGACTTCAGTGGTTTATTTTGTACATCCAGTGCAACCTCTCTTTTTTTCATATTCTTGTAGCTTATAATCCATTTTAAGATCAGGCCTGTTAGATATTTCTCATTCCTCTTCCATAATGCCTTTTAAACAGAGTCTATCTATAGGGGCAGATAGGGTTAAAACTAACTTCTGGATCCATTGTTCAAAATATCCTTTCAATATGTCTAATGTTGAAATATTGATCTTCCTTCATAATTGTAAGCAAAGTGTCATTCTGTTTTAATTGTTAAAAATGAAAATTATTTTTTTACAAAGGCTTACCTGTACGAGAGTCCTAAGTTTCTGCTTTCATGGACAAAGCATTCAAAGGTCTGGTCCAGCCTTCTCTAACCAGGCAACATTTAAGACTGTTGGGGTCATAGCTCCCAAAATTCCTAGGAGTCTATTCTTGCAATGAATTCTGCGAGTGAAGATACCAGAATGGATAGGAGTAGGGCACTTATATCTTCTTCTTCTCCTTCTTCGTCTTTTTTTTTGGGTGGTCTCTCAAGAACGTATGAACTCACATGCACCATCCCATTAGAAAAGGACCTGAAGATCTCATTATTTGATTTTGACCTCTTTTCACCTGATGACATTGTTGGGGACACCACCATAGACTTGGAGAACCGACTCATGTCTCATTATGGGGCCAACTGTGGGCTGCCACAGACTTACTGTGTGTAAGTATACGCGTGAGTAATCCCATCTTTCTCCTCCTAGCAGCTTCCAGATGTTTGGAGGAGTCATCTCCCAGAAATACCCAGGAACTGGGCATGTCTAGTCTAGTGCAGAGAAGGACCAGGGGAGACAGGATAGCAGAGTTCCAATATCTCAGGGGCTGCCCCAAAGAAGAGGGAGTCAAGCTATTCTCCAAAGCACCTGAAGGCAGGACAAGAAGCAATGGGTGAACACTAATCAAGGATAAAAGCAACCTAGAACTAAGGAGAAATTTCCTGACTGTAGAACAATTAACCAGTGGAACAACTTGTCTCCAGATGTTGTGAATGCTCCAACCCTGGAAGTTTTTAAGAGGATGTTGGATAACCATTTGTCTGAAGTTGTGTAGGCAGGGGGTTGGACTAGAAGACCTCCAATGTCCCTTCCAAATTTGTTATTCTATTATATTCAAATTCCCAGGAACATCTTCCTAGCTTTAGAAGTTCAGGTTATTTTCATCTACCAAATGCAGGAACTGGAAATGTCTAGTCTCCATAAAAAGAAGTGACATGATGGCAATAATCCAGTATTTGAGGGGCTGCCACAGAGATGAGGGGGTCAACCGATTCTCCAGAACACCTGAGGGAGAGAGAAGTTGTTACAGATAGACACTTAACAAAGAGAGATCCAACCTAGAATGAAGGAGAAATTTCCAGAGAGTGAGAAAAATTAATCAATGGAAAGCAAGCCTCCAGAAGTTGTGGAAGCTTCATCACAGGAAGTTTTCAAGAAGAGATTGGCTAGCCATTTGTCTGGAAGGGAATGGGGCCTCCTGCTTGGACAGTGGATTGGATAGAAGCAGAGGTGGTATTCAGCCGGTTCTGACCGGTTGTAGAGAACCGGTAGCAGAAATTTTGAGTAGTTTGGAGAACCAGCCAATCCCACCTCTGACTGGCCCTGCCAACCCCATCTCTTCTCTGCCTCCCATCGAGTCCCAGCTTATCGGCTGGGTCTTCTTTGGTTGCCCTGCCCAGGAGAACGGAGCTGGAAAGCAGGTTAGTGGGGTGGGGAGGGAATGGATATTTTGCAGTATCCTTCCCCTGTCATGCCCACCAATCCACGCCCACCAATCCACACCATGCCCAGCAAGCCACACCCACAGAACCATAGTAAAAAAAATGGAATCCCACCACTAGAAGACCTCCATGGTCCCTTGCAACTTGGTTATCCTGTACTGAAGTGATAGCTTCAAGAAAAAGGCACAAGTCCTTCTGAAAACGCTCTCTACAAACATTGATCCCCTTCTCTCTCTTGTAGGGCTGGCCCCACACAATGGAGAGATCAGCTTCTTCCAAGCGAACTCTTGGAAAATCATATTCAGGCCAAAAACTTGCCCCAGACGGAGATAAGTGAAGATGGAAGCAAAGCTGTTTTCATGGGTAGAACTTATCTGCTCTCTGACTTCGGTAAGTTTCCATCCAACTTTCGGTACTGTACTGTTTGGGGCAGTGCGTCTCGCCCCAAACACTGACAACTCAAGAATGGGTAGAGAGCATCACAATTTGGAAGTGGAGGTTGCCAACTAGGATTCTTGGGAAATTCAGTGTCTCCTTTAACTATTGCAAACCCAGGTAGGAAAGCTATGAAGATGCCTGCAGGAAGTCAAGTAACTGCTGTCTAGCAATGTTTGGAAAGCTGGTTAAGGCTTTCCTTAGCTATCAACCTTCTCCCGGTCAAAAGGAAAGGGAATGAACTACATTTTGGAACTCCTTACTTTCACTCAAACCCACCTTAGATATTTTAACTTTAGAGATTCTTCCTCTTAACCCCCACTTTTAAAACTATAGTCACTGATGTTTTGCCTACTCAAGGCCTTGGGTTGAGTTTGATGGGATTCCACCTGATGTTTCCTCCTTTCAGAGACTAAAGTACCTTCGCATGGATTTCTGGGACCCGCCAAAGAACGTATGGCACTCCACCTTCTCCGGACATGTGGTTTGGTCTCTGAACACATAGAAACTCGCACCCTCTACGACTCAGCTCTACCTGGGATTGACCAAGTAACCCTTAATCTCATATTTTCATACTATACTTGTTAGCTGATAGAAAGAAGAATCCGACAGACCGGCAAATCTATCATGGTGGATATCGTCTTATAAACCCTGTACCTCTCTCCTATCCAGGGTAAATTGCAGATGTGGGTGGACGTCTTCCCACTCTACTTGGGCGACCCAGGACCTCCATTTGATATCACCCCACGGAAGCCCAGGAAGTAGGTGCTGCCGATTTGTGTCAAGTCGCTTTACGCAACTAAACTAAATGTCAGCTGCCACCTCACACTTGCTTGTGCTTCGCTGATATGTGGTGACAGTTCTGCCACTGACTAAGGAGAAGGGGGACGAGGGCTTGCTTGGGAAATCAAAAGTAGGTGCTGTGTCATCTCACCCAGCTGGAAAAAGGAGGGAGTGGCATATCAGAACTGACCATTAGGAAAACAGCCAGCAAGATTTTAATTGGTTACCTTGGGGTGGGAAATGAAAGACAGTTAAGAAGGGGAATGCATATTGTAGGGATGCGCGAATCTCAGTTCTGGCTCTGCATTGCTGCAATACATTTGATCTCTAATAAAAATGCACCTTTCTCAGCAAATGGAGCCAAGAATTGTTTTCTGCTTAGAATTCCCCCCAAAAAAATTTCAGGAGGCAAGTGGACTTCCTTGTTTTTTTGTTTGAAGATGTTTTGCTTCTCATCCAAGAAGCTTCTTCAAGCTCTGACAGGATGGTGGGGAATGGAAGGATTTATACTCCTTGCAGACAGCTCTGGTCATTTGTATCCTTTGAGAGGGTCGTTGAGGCCACTTGGTGGTTTGTCAGAGCTGAAGAAGCTTCTTGGATGAGAAGCAAAATGTCTTCAAGAGAAAAAACAAGAAAGTTCAGTTGCCTTCTGGGAAAAAAAAACACCTTTGAGACAACCATGACCTGAATGACTGAGAAACTCTGCAGACTTTTAGCCGACTCTATGCTCAAGGGATGCCCAAGTATAGCTTCCTCTTCCTGGAAGCTTCTTCCTTGTCCCCCCACCCCAAAAGTCAGAGGAGGGTAGTGGTTGACCTCATTGAGCTAGGAATGGAAAGATCCGGGTTCAAGTTCACTCTGCACCATAGGAAAATCACCTTCTTCTCTCTTCTTTCTAGATACGAGCTCCGCTGCATAATTTGGAACACGAAAGATGTGGATCTAGAAGATACCAATATCTTTGGAGACAAGATGAGTGACATCTATGTGAAAGGGTATGAGATCAGTCATCTTGGTGGGGGATCCCAATCAGGTGCATTTTGATAAGGAATCCATTTCCTCTGTTCTTAAAAAGATGTGATTGGTTATTTATTTTTCCCCTTCAGAGGAAGGAAGTGGTTCCATAGTATTCAAAAGTAGTAACATAATTCAGGGGGAGTTTGTAAGTTTCTTCTGAAACAAAAGGCGACAAAACTCTTCAGCATCTCAGCGGGGAGAGGAGACACTGAGAAAGCTCATGCAGATCCATCAGTCTAGCCATCGGTGGTGGGATTCAACCGGTGTAACAACCGGTTCAGTGAGCGCGCACTTCGCAGGTGCAGAGTTTGAAAAACAAACAATTTCAGCTCAAACTCACTTTCTGCTGCAGCCATGGTGAGTAAAACAGCTGATAGGCGGCAAACCGCTGTGCCACACGAATCAGCTGGGCTGAAAAGCAAAGAAATATAGGACAGACTAGGGCCATGATGGGGAACCTACGGCACGTGTTCCACAGGTGGCATGCAGAGCTATTTGTGCGGGCACGCGAGCCCCAGCCAAACTTACCTGCACTGTGCATGCACGTGCCTCCCAGGTGATTTTTGGCCCATTTGAGGCCATATTCGCTCTCCCGGAGACTCGAAGAAAGCCTCTGCAGCCTCAGGAGGCCGGAAAATGGGCCCTCCGGAAATACCAGAAGTGCCGAAACAGGCCCGTTTTCAGCTTCCAGAGGCTTCCCTCAAGCTTCCAGGAGGGCGAAAACGGCCTCCCCCAGGCTCCAGAGGCCCTCCTGAGGCTGAAAACAGGCACTTCCGGTATTTCCAGAAGGCCCGTTTTTCGGCCTCCTGAGGCTGCAAAGGCTTCCCTCGAGCCTCTGGGAAGACGAAAACGGCCTCAAACGGGCCGAAAATCAACTAGGAGGTGCGTATGCGCAGTGCAGGTAAGGGGGTGGGGCAGGCTGTTGTGCATGCAGCATTGTGGGTGCTGGAATATGTGTGCGCACACTATCGCACACACACACACACACTTTCGGCACACCACAATAAAAAGGTTCACCATCGCTGGACTAGAGGTGGGTGGGCAGGGCTAACTAATTGCCGGAACTACCGGTTCCCTCAAACCGGTGTGTACCGGCTGAATCCCACCGCTGAATCAGGCCTTCTCTTTTTTTCCAATCCTATCTTTCCCTTGGCAAAGGCTTTGGTCTCTTCTTTGCATCCCTTGAGCGCCGTTCCTGGATTCCTACTTCTATGGCCCTTTCCTTCTTCATCCCACAACCCCAAACCACAGCTTCTTCTGTGAGAAGTGGAGAATCAAACCAGTCGTGGTTTGACAGGAGTGTCATTTCTACCCCCATCGAGGTCCTTCACGCATTTCCACACAACCTACATGCCAACAGAGAGTCAGTGGACATGGCTGCTTTCATTTCCGTCTACACCTGCTGGCCAACACTCCAACCCGATTACATAATGCACCTTTCACTAAATCCGATCCCATTTTTGGGTTGGCTAAAAATATTTCTGTCCCTCTCCTTTGCTTTGGTCCCAGGTGGCTGGATGGCCAGGAGGAAGACAAGCAAAGAACGGATGTCCATTATAGGTCTTTGGCAGGAGAAGGCAACTTCAACTGGCGGTTCATATTCACACTGGATTAT